ATATTTTTCTTCAACTTTGTAATGCTCCAACTATATATTACTTTTGAAAAAGTTGTACACTAATAAGAAAAATAAAGTTGTATAGTTCATACAAAGTTAACAACTCCAACAATTTTGACACACAGATACGGAGTAATGTTTAAAAACTCAGTACAATACGAAATCTAACATAACTAATGAAGCAAAAAAAAATGTAAGAAAAAAAATGTAGTGTGATGGCTTATAAGTTAAGTATAAAGTGAAGTAACTCAAAATATAGTAGTGTTAAGTGTCAACACCCAAAATATGAAAAAATGAGATTGACTATATGCAAAATTTATGTGTTGAGCCCTATTTTATTATTTCCAGAGTACATGTGTGTTAAAAATAGTGCTAAATTTGATTTTAAAAAATCATTTTTATAACAATTAAAATATTAAAATATAAATATATATTAAATTTTAAAAAATATCAAGTAATTGAAATAAGAAACATCTAACAAATTTTAACCCTGAAAGTGGGGGGGGGGGGGGGGGGGNCAGGCCCAGGCCGCCCATGAGGCTATGTGTTATCATGGGGCTTGATGGGGGCTTGACTACCACCATGTACGCGCCATGTGGCTTGACCCTCTCATCAAGCCCTATCACTTCTAGGTAAGTAATGGCGGGAGCTTGACTATTTTTTTTGTTTTGTTTTATAGATAATAGTTTTTGTAAACATATAAATTAAAATATTAATTTAAATACAATTCGAACCGGAAAAAAATAAGAAAAAAAAACTACAATGAAAAAAAATAACAATGGGAAAAATACAAGAATAAAAAAATACAATAAAATATAACGGGAAAAAATAACAACTAGTCTTCCATGTTCCACTTAGCTCGGATCTTCGCCTTCTCGGCCTCTTCTTGAGCCCGTCCGGTCAAGTGATCCGTTGGAGCCCATAATATGCGCATGTCTGTTGGAATTTTTGGCTTGTAACGAGACAACTTCGGCCGTAAATTTGGTGGGTTCCACAAAAAAAAAATTCCAAAATAATTATGGATGAATAATCTTCTAAATGAGACGAGTGTTTCGACATATTATTCGCCAAAAAATGGTGTTCGATTGAATGAGAAATTAATTCACAAAGTCAGACACTTGGAAGGAGGAAACTCATGTATCCCACATCAGCTTTGGTACCTTTCATCTTCCACTATTTATATACTAGTATTGAATTGTATGTTCAAAGTAATTTGAGAAGGAGGAAGGAAAGGACCCCTCGCACACCGCCGCGCCGTCCGTCCGGCTCAGCACGACACGTCATGCACGTGTGCGCGACGCGTCGGGATGTGGCGAGGGCGTGGGCCAACTCTTATCATTTTATGAGACCGAATTGAACACAAATGGGCACTTTGTTAGCTACGATGGAGAATAGCATGAATGCACCTACAAAGGGACTCTTGTGACCCTTTGGTTTGTCCGCCCAGTTTTGCCCATCGTCCAAGTCTTGCCCTATATAAAGGGGACTTCACATTAGAGTAAAAACACAAGCACACAAGCAATATATCTCTCTCTGCGTTCTAACTCTCTGTTTCTGGTCATCTTCTCCGGTGAGTAACTCTCTGCTCGTTCCAGTTGGTTGGTGTGCGGTTCTACCGCTCTAGATCTTGCACGTTAGCGGTTTTATCTTGGGAGGAGATCGTCCACGTTAGCCAGTGCGGGAGGGGGGCGATACTACCTTAAGGAAAGCTCTGGTGACTCCTTCTGTTCGGCTTCCGACGACCTTCTATCTTTTTTTATTTTTATTTTATTTTCCCCGTTGTAAAATCTGAACGTATTATAAGTCCAGGTTACTCTCTTCTTATTTTCCCGGTAAACTCGCCTTTAGTTTCAACAATGTCATCGTTGTATTGTTTTTCTTGTTGGAGAGAAACAAACGTCTTCAGGTACGTTGATATCTCGTCCCACTTCTCTTCCAACTTGCTATTATCCCTTGAGGACATTGGACGTTTCTTCGGTTGTTGCGGTCGGGTAGGCGGCGAGGTTCGGGAGGCATAGAGTACTCCTCCTTATCTTCATCAAAGCCGTTCAAAGATATTTTGACTCTAGAGGAGGAATATCCCAAACCCACATCGGTTGACGAATCTCCCTTTGATCATTTTGAGACTTGAAGTCTCAGGATGGTATGCCACTTCGTGGATTCAAGCATGATTTCTTATGTCTTGATACTCGTGAACACGCCACGCTCACGAGCGTATTGGGTCAATGCCTCGGTTAGAACCTGTGCGTTGTTGTGGCCACTCCTCCGCGACTCCACTTATATTATTTAAAACACCTTATCCACCTCATTTAATATACTCCGTCTATTTTCATTAAGGGTATTTTGGTAAACTTGCATCTTTTTTCATCTCTTCTTAAAAACTACAAAAAGTCAAAACAAGAAAATCTAAATATTCTTTTATCATCTTACTAAAACTCTCATATTAAATACATGTAAGTAAAACATGTAGTCCCTCTGGCACAACGCACAAAGTAGCTATTGGGTTTTCAAAAAATTACAAAATCTTAAAAATGTTTTAATTGGAAAATGTATCATTTAAATTTATTAAGAACAATGAGAATTTGTAGGAAAAAAATTACGAAGTACGGAGTAATATATTTTAACCACACCTTAACATGTACTTGGCAAAACACAATCAAAACTGATTATCCGAACAAAATAAACCAAACTTAAATGATCCAAAACATGAAGGGGCAATCTATAACTGAATACCCAAAAAGATTTAAATCAAATAGAAACTGAACTAAATATATCTATACCTGATTTAAATCTGAAACTAATTAGATCCAAAACTGATAATGTCTGGAATCGTTTATATTCAAAACCGATAATATCTAAGACTAAATATCTCTGAAACAAGTTATGTCTTTTCTTTAACCATATTACTCCGTACAATAATTTTGTGCATAAGTGCACAACAACATTCATATAAATTCGAAATTTCATATTTTATTTTAGTTGGATATATATACACACTTTCATATATACATACTTCTCTGTTCTTTTTTTTGACAATTGAAACTTTTTAATCAAATTACTACATACTTCGACCTTTAATGTGAGAGATGAGAAAAAGATGGTTGACATTAAACAAGATAGAAAATATAAAGGGAGAGAATGATGAGTAGGAATGAGCTTATGAGGAAATGACTCAATTGAGAAAGGTAACAGGGAGGAAAAAGTTCAAAGCTTAAAATATAGAGCAAAAAAATTGAAAAGAGGAAGAAAATAAAAAAGAGAAAAATGATCTAAAAAATACTCGGATCCGCAACACAAAAGGAGGGTAAAGTAAAGTAAGATGATGAAGTGATGATAGACTGACCAATGTTATATAGTAGAAAATGGAAATACAAAAATCTAAATTTTAATATAAAAATAATTTGGAGTATATATCTAAAATATATTTGAACTGAAACATATTCGAACGAAAATATAATCAAAACCAAAATATACCTGAATCAAAATCTATCTGAATCTGAAATCTATTTGTCCAAATCGATCCAAAATCGAACCGAAATCAAAACCCATAATTACATAGAACTAAATTAAATCTTAAACAGATTGAAATCAAATCAAAGTGAACTTATTATAACCGAATGAACTCAAAACAGAACCGGTCCCATGGATCCAATTACCGGTCTACTCAATAGTCAATAGTCGTTGAGGTCCATGGCCTAACCTCTTCGTTTGTTTCACCAAACTTTCCTTACCCCGAGGGCAGTGGAAACGGGTGTGACGCCGGTGGGCGTCAACCCTATTTTTAACGCCGGAAGGCGTTAAACACAACCCTCTAGGGCGTCAAACGGGCTTCATTCACTTGGCGTCAGACATTTGACGCTGCGCCCTCCCCTCCTAACGGCTAAATTAGCCGTTGCAACCATAAAAAAATAGTTTTTTTATAAATTTCAAACTCCATATCCTCCAATTCTCACACTTTTCAACCTCAATCTTCTTCACATCTTCTTCAATTCTCAATTCTCCAATTATCCAACTCTCTTTTCAACATGAATCCCTCCGGCTCTGGCTTTTTCCCCGACGGTCTTGAGCCTAACGAGCACGGCATGTGGATCTTCCAACAATACGAGAGTAATCCGTCGATGTTCGAGACGCAACCATCAAGGCACGTCTCTGACCAGGAGTCGGTTCCGGAGAATCAACTGGAACCATCCGGCACCAAAAAAAGTGCACGCTGGAAGAGCCACAAAGCGAAAGGCACTCAAGCGATGACCGAGGTGGCACGGTCAGTCCAAAAGTGGACGCCAGAGGAAGAGTGATTGTTGGCGTTGGCTTGGGTTGACGTCTCCGAGCATCCTATCGTTGATAAATATTATATGTTTTCTAATATATTTATGTTTTTATTTATATAATCGTGTTGTATATTTGTGTTAAAAAAATTTCCATGTTATACTTTTTTAAAGGTTCTGAGCAAATGAAGGATGCGATGTTGGATCGTATCGAGGAGAAGTACTTTACGACGATGAACAAGGATGGCTCCTGCCGTACCTTTCTGGAGGGTCCGACTCTGTTTCCGTTTCTTTCTCACGAAGATATCGGTTGAGCAATGGTTGAACAACTTCAGGTGTTCAATATCCGAGAAGAAGAGAGGGCGAGAAGAAAGGAAGAGAAGGACGAGATCGAAATAATGGAAACCGACATTTCTACGTTATCAGCCTTCAAACGTATGATCTTCGAGAGAAGACAAAAAGAGATCAAGACTAAATATAATTTACCTTAGTTTTTTCCATTAATGTATTTATTATTATTATTGTTGCTTTCTTTTTATTTAATTTAATGAATGTAATATTTTAAATTATTGTCGCTTTAATTTTTTTAATTTAATGAATCTAATTTTTTTAAATTATTCCGATTTCAATATATTTAAATAATTAAATTTTAGTTTTAGAAGTTCAAACTTTGAAACTTGAAAGAACCAAAACGCCATTTTTAAGACGCAAACTGCGACTTTAATTTTCCCGGATCATTCCATTGCCACCGCTCCTCCGTTCGCGACTCGTCGTCGGAACTCATCTCCTCCTCCATCGTTTGCACCTCACGAAGACGATGAACCTCCAGGAGGTAATCGACGTCGGCCGCAATTTCGCCGTCATGGTTCGGATCCAAGGCCCTGTAAGTCCTCTCCGAGCAAGTTAGTGGCTGCAGCCGATGGTTCCCGATGATTTTTAAGTCTTATTTTAATCTTTTCTTCTCAAATTTTGATGCAATTTTAGGACCCCAAGGGTTTGAAAATGCGAAAGCACGCATTCCACTTGTACAAGTAAGGATTTTATCATCTTTTAAACGGGGAGTAGTGTTTAGTTCGTGACTTCTTGCTTGTATTGAACTGGAGTTGATTGAATTTTACCTTTCGGGAATTCTATTTGCTTATTTTTCGAACAATCTGGGCAGTTCTGGAAGAACTGCATTATCAGCTTCTGGAATGCTTTTGCCACGCTCATTTGTTAAAGCTTCAGTGTCTAAGCAGTTTGAGGGTGAAGGCGATTTGCAATCCGGAGGAGGTTGCGTTTTGGTCATTACTGTTGCCTCTGTTCTTGAGCAATTTCTTTCACAGCAACATCGAGATAACGTGTCACAGGTTAATACTTAATACACAATTTAGTCAGGAGAACTATGTGCTGTTTATGTGAGTTTTTTTTGTTCTCACACATGGTGTTTGTTTTATGGTACCTAGCTGGATAGACCCATGTTGATACCCGGTGCTCAGATTGAAATATTGATGGAGGTGTGCAGTTCATGTAACTTCGGTTTTTTTCACTCATTTTCACGAAGATTGAAGATTTGTGTTACACTGTTGTATATTCTTTAAGACTTACAGACTACAGAGTATTGATTTTTTATGGAGTATTGAACTTGGGTTATGTTCATACACACTATTTGCTTATAGGGTAAGGAGGTTCATGCAATGACAAACAAGGAGGCTCTAAATTGGCAACCAGCTGAACTTCTTAGAGTGGTAGGCATTCTGTAAGGGCATAATAAACAACTTTCCTCAAATAAATATTTGTTTGCATCTGTTATTTTAAATAAATTTTACACAACTGATTTTTACTCTGATCTTTCCATGATACACACATTCTCGTTGTCATAATATGATATGGAATTATCTTTGTCTAGTATTGAAAATTGGTTTCATATTTGGGATAGCACTCTAGTTCTTGTTATATATCTTACATGGTAAAGTGTCCCAGCATTGTCATGTTGGTGTCGATTTTGGATTTTGAAGGTCAACGTGCCTACATCGTCTACCGCTATCCAATCTCTGGTTGAAACATCTTCTGGCTCAATAGAGCACGATTGGGAAGTTGGTTGGTCTCTAGCTTCCTACGGAACTGGTCATCAATCATTTATGGAATCTGCACGAAAGCAGGTAGTTCCTGTATCTGAAACTCTTTAACTAAAAGGTATCACATTTTCAAGACTTATTTCTATATACAAACTCTATCAATAGGATATATTTCTATGTTGTGAGGATTTCGAAAAATATATGAAGCAGTGTTGTCGTTTTATCTTGTCTTGAGTATCACTATTGCAATTTTGACCAGGCTTTAGAATTCCTTGCAAACTTCCCATTGTTCGGGAGCGTGTATTTTGAATTGTACCTTTTGTACCAAGGCCAAGGGTTCCATGCACCTAGAAAAGATGCTTTATATGTAATTACAGTAAATGTAAGGTCTGCATACACAAACCCTCCCCTGACCCTACTTTCGTGGGATCCAACTAGGTTTTTGTTGTTCTTGTATTACAAAAATAGGAATCTTTTGCTCACAATAACCTACACCTTTATTCTATCACATGATTACCAGATTCCTCCATAGATTTAGCATGGTTTCCCAATTAGGAGACCTCGAGTCCAATGCACATATGTCAAAACAGAACTGACGAAGTCCTAAATTATTACTCCTTTAACAATGTTTAAAAGGTCCATTGAAATTTGTCTGAAAAAAAGTTCAGAAAATTGGCATTATAGATGGTCTATCATGTATCATGATTTCTAGAATAACTCTTTCAGGTAGAGCAAGCTTCTTTCCCTAGCAAAACGTATATTCTGGAAACAGAATCCAGTAATCCAAGTTTGATGGGCAAATCAGCAGCCAGAGTTGCTCTTCTCAAAGTTTCTTCCATTCAGTATGGGGTATTGATGTATTTTTCATTCAGATAGCAATCTGTACTGTCAAAAGTTGCATTGCATAGCACATGGCTTGAATGATCTACTGTTGCTACTACTGCTTTGTTGTCACTGCTGAATCGAGTTCATGTTTAATTCTCACACTACATGTTATTTAGGATCATCCAAAAATAAGCACATCTCATTTGAACCAGAGGGGTGATCGCCTTCTGTCAATTGGTTCTCCTTTTGGCATCTTGTCTCCCATTCACTTTTTTAACAGGTATTTGCCTAGTATGAAAGTATATTGATTATTTGCGTTATTAGATTTCCTGTTTAGTGTTTTCCTATCGAGCATTCAAATCACGAGCTCAACACTTTATATGCCGACTCATATTAACTGCACTCTATCCATTTATGGGGCAATGAGCACTTGGCTTAATATTTAGAACTTTCTTTGAAATCCAATTTACCTCAGTCCAATTGATATTAGTGTCACCTATTTTTTTATTGGATTCTTCCTATGAGAGCTCCATTTTATTAGTTTGCCGATGGAACAGTATATCGGTGGGATCCATTTCCAACGTTTACCCATCTAACAAGTCACCAAGATCATTGTTGATGGCTGACATTCGATGTCTCCCTGGTATGAGAGTTATCATTGTAACTTATGTTCTTTCAATTTCTTAATTCTTACTCTGTATATTCTAGCATTTTGGCTCTGTTCTCACCCATAATGTCTTTAGGAATGGAAGGTAGTCCAGTTTTTGGGGAACAGGCAGAACTTATAGGTATTCTATCCAGACCATTAAAACAAAGGACTAGTGCAACTGAGATTCAGGTAAGTGTGTCAGGTTTTGTTCTCTTTGTAAACTACCATTGTGCTTGAATACTTGATACATTTCTGTGCATCTGATCTGCTAATAGTATTTTGGTTTTTAGAAGAGGTGCACAGTGTACTATTTTCTTTTTCAATGCACTCTGCCCTCCTATATATTCATCTGTGAACTTAGGGGTTTAATATCCAATTGGAGTTAATTCAAAGCTGAAGGGATTTTTCTTAGTCTTGTTATTTTGTTACATATAGAGAGTATTGTTTGGCTTAGTATTAAAACTTTGGTGACAGATGGTTATCCCTTGGGAAGCTATTGCATCTGCATGCAGTGATCTGCTGGAGAAGCATCCCCAAACGACCTGGAATGATGCCCACCATGACAATGTAATCTTTAATATTAACAGTGAACCTATAAAGGACATTCATGGACATATCCGTTTAGGTCATCCATCTTCGTCCTCAATTGACAAGGCAGCAGCTTCCATTTGTCTCATAACTGTTGATGATGGAGCATGGGCTTCTGGTATTTTACTCAACAAACAAGGCCTCATTCTTACAAATGCTCATCTTATTGAGCCGTGGAGATTTGGAAAAGCATCTGCAATTGATGAAAAACATAAGACCAACCCCTGTGTTTCTACGCCTTATGATCAAATCAAATGTCCAGGTGATGAAAAAGTTGGCACCCATGCCAAGGGTGCCAAGTGTCAAGGTTTACTGCAAGCAGGAGTGGGACCTCTGGACTTTTCTCTTAAAAGAGAGAATATAGGGTCTAACATCCACCTGGAAAGGAAAGACCACAGAAGCATACGTGTACGTTTGGATTCTCTGGATCCATGGATATGGACAAATGCAAAGGTCATTCATGTCTCTAAAGGACCACTAGATGTTGCCCTACTGCAACTTGATTTTGTTCCAGATCAGCTGTGCCCTATTGTTATAGACTTTAGACACCCCTCCCCTGGATCAAAGTCATATATTCTTGGTCATGGCCTGTTTGGACCACGATGCGGTAAATAGAGATCATGCCCTCCGTTTCTCCCTAAGAAGACATCTTTTTCACATCTTCTAGCATAACATTTGTAACTTTTAATTCTGCTTTTTGTTATAGATTTACTTCCATCTGCTTGCCTTGGCGTGATAGCTAAGGTAGTTGAAGCAAAGAGGTCTCTGAACCATCAGACCACACAAGAAAGCTATTTTCCTGCAATGCTTGAAACAACAGCTGCTGTACATCCTGGTGGTAGTGGTGGAGCAGTTGTCAATTCTGACGGGTTCATGATTGGCCTTGTCACAAGGTATAAAAGAATACTCCTTGCGTCTCTAAAGAAACTTTCTACTTTCCTTTTTCAGCTGAACAAAAAATAAATTCACATTCTATGTAGTTCACATTATTTCTCTCTCCTTTACATATACTTCCACCATACAATTTCACTTTTTCTTAAAACCAACATACAATTTCACTTTTTATTAAAACCACCATACAATTTCACTTTTTTTAAAACCACCATACAATTTCACTTTTTCTTAAAACCACCATACAATTTCACTTTTTCTTAAAACCACCATACAATTTCATTTTTTCTTAAAACAATGTGAAAAAGTAAATGAGAACTTATTTTAGGGACAGGGCAGAGGGAGTATATTATTTCAAAAGGATGGTTATGAATGTAATGTATTCCTTAATCATATGTAGCAATTTGCCAATTTTTGTTGGTAATATTGCTTTGAAATCCTTCTTGATATGTGGGTTTGTTTTATTCAAATTTTACATCAACTTTAGCATCGCAAATTCGGTATCATCATTAATGTGCATGGTCTGACTATGTTGACCATCAGCCTGTTTTCTCTTCCCACACACAAAAAATTCATTTTGGCATGTATGGTTTGCACAGCAATGCCAGACACGGTGGAGGGACTGTTATACCGTATTTGAACTTCAGCATCCCCTGTGCAGCTTTGGAGCCGGTCTTTAAGTTCTCAGAAGGTGTTTTTAACTCCATCAAATCATCAACTGAAGTCTTAGTTCTTACAGTAATTTATATTGACTTTTAGCTCCATGCGCAACGACAACAACCCAATATAATCAAAATGACTCTTAACTCCGTTGGGGTCTAGATGGGTTAAGATGGGCTGAATCGAAATGAGAGACTAAATTTCATCAGTCCGGTTCTCTTGACACTGGACTCTAGTTTCATATTATTATAGCGGCCATTTGAGGCACCTACGGTAATTTTGTTGGACCTCGAATTTGTTTCCACCCTCGGTTGGACCCCAAAATGGCCCCCCCTCACCCAATTGTCGGTTACCTACAGTATTTACAGTAGCAAATAGGCAAACTTGGGGTTGAGGGCGGGGGGGGGGGGGGGGGGGGGGGGGGGGGGAGAGGGGGAGGACATCTTCGAGGTTCAACAAAGCACCGTAGGGCTTGGTGTCATAATATGACACTCCATTCCAGTGTCAAAAGAACCGTGGTGAAATGTTGGCACCACCCATCAATCATGTTTTCTACCATTGTGTTTTGCTGTGACAGATATGAGCGACTTATCGCTTCTGGAGTATCTTGACAAACCAGACGAGCAGCTATCGGCTGTGTGGGCACTGGCGCCTCCACTCTCATCCAAATCAAACCCTTCTTTTTTGCTCAACCCACCATTACTCCCACAAGATGGCGGCGGCGGGGGGCACGAAGCCAAGGGTTCCCGATTTGCCAAGTTCATAGCCGACCGAAGAGAATGGCTGAAAAAAGAACCCCAAGTTGACAACTCAGGGGGAACATCCCAAAATGAATACATTTCCAGCAAGTTATGACAGCCCAAGACATGAGCTATAAAGTGGGAAGACTGATTTAGAACTAGACACAGAAAACAAAACTGAAAACTCCATATGAAAGGGGGGGCAAAGAATGTATAATGGTAGTAGAAGAGAGCAAGGCTCCTTTTATATGCTTCTTGTAATGCCATTTGGGAATAATTGATAAATCAATCTGCCCACTGTCTTAGTATGTACATTGATTGGGTGTTGTAGCAGGCATATCCTCCTGTAGTTCTTGCTTCCTTCCAATTCCTTGCTCACTGAGGGTCTCACATAGTCACATACTTGGAATCCATATTGTATATTGTTTTTGTCCCTATTTAAATTGACTGTTTATAAGATTTAACTAAAATTATTTTCAACTTATTTTATTGTAAAGTTGGTGTAGGATTTAAAACTAAAATTTACATATTTAGAAATTTTAAAAAATTTTACAAAACTAGATGTGACATTACTATATTATTAGTTAACGAAAATAAATAGGGTAAATGTTGATTGTGTGAATAGAAAAAATATAGAGTAGAAAATTTAAATTGGAACGAAATGATTAATGTAAGTGTCACATAATTATCCTAATTTAAGTTGCTCGTTGTGGTTTACATTTTGAACTCCAAATAAAATTTATATATACTCCCCGTCCCTAAATCAAAAGTTCTACAAAATAAATTTTTGCCATTTTTGTAAATCAAAGATAGAGGGAATATAAAAAAGGGTAAGAAACAAGCTAAAGTTTACTAGGAAAATAAGTTACCCAACAGAAGGCATGAGTTTACTAGGAAAATAACATCGCATACATACACATGCATATATACCCAAACAGAACTATATACAATAATACAGTACATTCATCATATATTATTATTATTATTATTATTACCGGATTATTATTATTATTATTATTATCATTTTTATTTTTCCCCGGCCTAATAAAACCATAAAAAAAGAAGAAGCAAAAAACAACACCACCATGCATCAGCTTCCTCCTTTCACGGTTTCCTCTCGCGGGCGGCGGCGGCGGCGGCGCGCCTCCTCATCTCATCCACATCCTCGTCCACCGCCTTGGATCCCTCGTCGGCTTTCCCCACCACGGTTTCCTTGATCTTCTGACCCGTCTCCTTCACCGCCCCGAACGCTCCCTCCACCGTCTCCTTCGCCTTCTCCCCCATCCCCTTGGCCGCCTCCGCCGCCTTGCTCGCCCCCTCCTTCGTCCTCTCCTTGGCCTCCTCCGCCGCCCCCTTCATCTTGTCCGCCACCCTCCCCGCCCTCTCTTTGGCGTCCTCCGCCGTGTCCTTCGTCTTCTCCTTCAGCTCCTCCGCTCCCCCCTTCGCCTTCCCCGCCACTTCATGCGTTTTCTCCTTGGTCTTGTCCGCCGCCTCTCTCGTGTTCTCCTTTGTCTTGTCGGCAATGTCCGACGCCGCGTCTCCGACGGTCTGCCTGTTTCCGGCGTAGTCTCTCCTATTGTAGTCCTGAGATGCGCCAAAGCCCTGCTTCATCATATTTTTTACATGTATAAATAATTCCGGCCCCTTCTATTTACTCCCTTTTTTTCAAATGGACTAAAATCCATCATTAGTTCTTCAAATTTAACTTTTTGAGCGGTGTACGATTGATCTTTTTTGTTTCAAAAATCCATGAATAGTCCTTCAAATTTCAAAAATTTATAAGTAGTCCTTCAAGTACATGTCAGACCTCTATATGAAGTCCTTTTGACAGTAAATATTAAAAGGTAAATGGAATACTAGTTCCATATAATACGAGTAAGTTCTATTAGGTATGACTAGTCCGTATTATATGGAGCTAGTATTTCATTTACCTTTTAACGTTTATCGTCAAAAAGACCCCATTTGGAGGGCCAAGGTGTAATTGAAGTATTACTTATATACTTTTGAAACTTGAAAGACCAATCGTGCATAACTCATAAAGTTGAAGGACTATTTATGAACTTTTGAAACTTAAAAAATCAATCGTGCACAACTGATAAATTTAAAGGATCAATGGTGGAGTTTAGCCTTTCAAATTTGACTTTTCTTGATCAAGATTTATAAATTCTGACCATAAAATACAAAAAATATTACATTTAAACACTCACTATGATATAAATTAAATCATATTACCAAATTTAGGATGATAATATTACTACTCCTTGTCGTCTATCCCAAAATATTCGTCCAATTTATTTTTTCGCATCAAATTAGACGAATTGTACTAATCAGTTGCATTAAATTTACATTGCACATATTAATACAAAGAAAACATCAATACAAACAAAAATTGGGATAATTTTTTGCGAGATAAACGTAATCAAATCATTTTTCTACTAATATCCAATAAAATCTTTATTTACTCCCCTTGTACCGGATCGAATTTTTAATTCTAAATAATTACGACATTGACCAAAATAAAGAGAAAAAACATTTGACCTTGTGAACGGCGGCAGATGCGCAACGCAAATCGTTTCCTGATAGAAAGACTATGCAAGAGGTATATAGAAAGTGAAATTTGCACTAAATAGGACTAAAACATAATGACTTTCCTAATGTAGGACTTAAACTTTTTTATTTCCTAAATAGGACTTGATAATGACCTTGTGGAAGGAATAATGTCTAGTAATGATGGACATTTAGTTGAATAATGACTACTTGATAATGACCAAAGATCCTACATTGGGAAATAAAAACATATAGCCCTATATTGGGAAAGTCATTATCTTTTAGTTCTATTTAAGTAAATTTCTCATATAGAAATTATGTTTAAAGTTAGTATTCCTTTTACAAAAGTATTATCTAGATTCTAGATGGAACAACTGACTGACGATCAAAGTTTATCCAATCTGACTCGAAAAAAACACATTGACCGACCAAATTGCGGTGTATACAAATATACCTCGGGAGTACTGGCGGCAGAGGAGAAGGAAACCCTGGAGAGTTTGGGCCTTGAAGGGGTTCGAGAGAAAGCTTTAGAGAGGCTAAAAATGGCGTTCCTCGTCATTAATGGCATTCCGGCAGCACCCATTGTTATTGTATTGTTTAACTTGCTGCTTATTTAAGGATGTCTCAAAATTAGTTAAGAAAAGGTTCGAACGGTTTCTGAAACTGTATATGTGTTATATATTATTATTGTGATGGAGAAGATTTTCGTGGGAGAGGTTTTTAAATAAGTATGTTTGGAATTAAATTATAGTATCTTTGGGAACATGGATTTGGATTTGGCTCAAATTCCATGTTTGGGAAACTTAAAAATTTTGTATTTGGATTTGAGTCAAATTCTTCTCATGATAAAGCTTAATTTGAAATACATGCACCTCCCCTTGTCATTTGAAATTCAAGATTTCAAATTTTGGAATTAAAATGCATGAATTGAAATGAAATGCTAGTTGCCAAACACTACCTTAAATAATTTCGTCTAAATAATACTCCCTCCGTCCCTAAATAAACTTTTCTTTTTGACTTTTTGAGGATTTAAGAGAGGGATATTTTTTGTTAAATTTCCAAAAATACACTTGATGTGATGTGTAAAAGTAAGATGTGATATGTAGATTATTAGTAAAAGGGGTAAAAGGAATTTTTTAAGGGAAAAGAGAAGTTTATTCGTGGACAAAGAAAAAACGAAAGGGAAAGTTTATTTAGGGACGGAGGGAGTAAATAAATAAATAAATGTGGATAGAAGATGGATTTGGAAGCGGTTCGAAGTGGTGGTGGTGGCGTCTCATGGAGGTGACACGTTGGCCTTGCATGTGCCGCCTGCCACGTGTGTAGCTCAGGATGACGTGTCCTTCCTGGGAAACTTGAGTTCATATCCTCCCTCCAAATAGAGCTACCTCATGATATTTTAAAAGAGACTCTTTCACTTTAATCGTCTTTTGAGATGTCTAGAAAATTTGATTATATTCTTCCACTTTAATTAGTAAGAAAAGTACTACAAAGTAAAAAAATGAGTAATTGAAATTAGATTAGTAGAAAGAGAAGGTTGTAGGCAACATATTCTTTACTTTATACTCCCTCCATTTGCAAAAAGACTTCCCATTTTGATTTGGAGCAAAAATAAAGAAGTGTTAAATTGTAGTTGATTTCCAATTTTGCCCCAATGTGATGGGTAAAAGTAAGATGTGATAAATAGATTATTAGAGAAAAAGTATGATGTGATAGGTAGGGTATGAAAAAGTAAGAGTAAAAGTGGTTTTTTAATAGAAAGTGGAAGTATTTTGTTGGAAGTGGAAAAAATGAAAGAGGAAATGTTTTTGGGAAGGGGGGAGTATAAGGAAAGAAGTGAGACATTTATTTTGGAACGAACTAAAAAAAGAAAATGAAAATGAGACAATTAGTTTGGAACAAAGAGAGTAAATAAATATTTTATGATAACTAACATAAAAAATAATTTCATTAGATCTTTTTGCAAAAATATTTCCAAAGTTTTACAGGAAAATATGTTTCCCATTAACAACTTGTGTTCATAGAACTATTTTATTTATAGAAATCCAATAAGTTTCATTCGCTTTTAATTCTTTTCATTTCTTTCATGGTCTCAATATTTGAAAATTATTCTACGATTACTCCTTTTGGGACTATACGTGAAAAACAATATCGGGGTAAAAAACTAATCATAAAATAATTCTCAAATATAGAAGATCACGAATGTAATATCTTAAAATTGAAGACTATATGTGAAAAACTCTATGTTATAAAAGACTATTTATAGATTTTACTCTAAGAAGAATAAGTTATAAGTTCATGTACAAAATGGGGAAAAAGTAGGCATGTCATAGAAGTGGCTAGAGTAATTTATTCACGCGCCATATTAGGGGTATATCATTTCCACAGACACGTGATATTTGTGTTTGTCTGATGTACAAATAGAATACACTATTTTGGTGTACCCAAATGGTGTATTCCTAGCTTTATTCTTTGAATAATACTTGGGGAACGCCGCCACATAGGGTACAACAAGTGCACACCGAGACACTTAAGCCTATATGTGTGCCAGTTCGTGCCTTGGTGTACACTTGAGTACCCCACGTGGGGTTCCCTAACACTCCCCTTATTCTTTAAACATCAAACGAATATATTGTATAATACAGAGTATTATTAAACTCCGTATATAGTTAAAAATGATGAAAGTTCTACATAATAAAAAGCAATGCAAATTATGGCCATCCTATAGACCAAGTGGAAATGATGACCAACAGCATGATATAACCAAGTTAAAATAGAAAAGCAGCCAAGTAACAAGTTATGGTAATAATAATATACTTCTCCTTTATATAATATGTTCCTCAAGAACCTGGAACTAGCACTAGAAATAAAGATGACAGAGAACAAAACACTTTATAAATAAATACTCATGAAAAAAATATACACCTGAAGTGCCCAAGTGAACCATTCCCTCTAGCCAAGATGGTTCACCAAAATGGTCTGTCCTTGTTATGTCAGTTGTTCACTTAAGGAAACGTTCACGTCGGTTCACAATGCTGCAACTATCTGGCCCTGGTTTGTTTGTAATGAAAGATAGCGCCGTTCATGCCAGAACCTGCCATGACATTATAGCATGGATGAAGTATGGATTTGAAAACAGGAAAGAGGAGATATAAATAGCAGGTTAGCAGTACACTAAAACTCTAAGGCACCATTCGAACTTACCCTCTCAAATACGGTGTATATCATGGTGAACCTTTGGTGATGGGGATGAATGGATGATGATATCAATCTTTTTCCACATATTCAGGTTATGGAGGAGGGTGATATGTTGAAACTCATTGCAGAACAACCTTCCACAAATTGGATAAAGTTTGGCAATGATGTATTGGGGGAAGAAGAGCCAAGAGCAGCCACTCATTTCTCAAGTCTTTGTCCATTTAGTATCACCAATAGTCACCACAAGAGCAATCACCATTCTCAAACTTGTGGAACCTATTAGCATCTCTTACCAGAAAAATTTTATCCTTCAAGATCTTGGACAATCCCTTGATGAACTCGTGGCAATCCCCACAAACCCTGAGGTTCTTGAAAACACGAATGGGTTCTGCCACATTGACTCCATTTTCAACGTCGTTCAGCAAAGCAAGCCCGATTGCCAGTTTCTCGCTGTGAAACATCAAGCTTTCTTCCCTCGATTCATCTTCCACGTCATGCAAGGAGAAGTTGACCATGTGTGAATAACCCAACTCTGTTTTCATTCTCGTCTCCATCTCTTTCAGAATCTTGTGGATGGACTCTGTCTCGGGGTGCCTCTCGTCTCTGTTGTAAAAAAAGTACATCTTTTTCTTGATCTCTACCCAGCTCCGTCCAGCTTCCTTCTTTAACCCTTTTGCCTTAGCCAGATATCGGAGGTCTTCACACAGTTTCCAGTTTTTGGCATCAGCATACAGATTTGACACCATAACATAGTTAGACGGGTTATCACTCTCCAATCTCAATAATATCTCCCCTACTTCCGCTCCCAAATCCACATTTTTATGTGTTCTACATGCACTTAGGAGTGTCTTCCATATCTCTGGATTTGCTTTTAGTGACATATTATCCTCTATGAGATTCTTGGCTTCTGTTAGCCATCCAGCCCGGCCGAGGGCATCAACCATGCAACTATAGTGCTCCATCTGAGGTTTTACCTTACCTTCATTACACAATTTTGAGAAGTATTCTTGGCTGGCTTCCATTAGTCCTGAATGACTACATGCAGTGAGCAAGGCAAGGTAGGTAATCTCATCAGGTTCAAATTTGTTTGCCTCCATTTTCTTGAAGAGTTCAACTGCTTTTTTCCCACTTCCGTACTTTCCATAGCCTGTTATCATCGTTGTCCAAGTGATCACACTTTTTTTATTCAACCCATCAAAGAGTCGTTCAGCTTCGTGTATAAACCCGCATTTGAGATACATATCAATGACTGAATTAGAGACCGGTGTATTTAAACTGCATGGAAGTTTGATGGAATAGGAGTGTAACTGTTTTCCTAGCTCAACCAGAGAAAAATCAGCAAAAACACCCATCAAACTAGAAACAAGAATCTCATCAATTGGAACTTCCCTCTCCACCCTAAGCTCTCTGAACAAGCTCAAGGCCTTCACTAAATCACCTTGTTGAGCATAGCCTATAATAAGAGGAGTCCAACAAAGAACACTTTTTTGCAACACGTGATCAAAAACCTTCTGGGCTTCGAATAAGTGGGTCCCGCTTTTGGCATACAAGTCGATGAGTGCACCAGAAGTGATTTTATCGCCGGAAAGGGGGAATCCCCTAACGATTAGAAAAGCATGGATTTGGTTTCCTTCACGGATGGCTCTCAGGGTAGTGCAAGCTTTAAAGGTGCTAGCGAATGTGAAGTTATCCGGCGTTTTACCATGAACTTGCATTTGTTTGAACATGGTTAAACATTTCTCCACCATACCTTCCAGAGCATATCCTGATATCATAGAGTTCCATGTTATCTGGCCTCTATAAGGCATCACGTAAAACATCTTTTCAGCATCACCTATCTTCCCACATCTTGCATACATGTCAATTAGTGCATTCCCAACAACCGCATCCCATTCAAACCCACTTTTCCCACAAAAACAATGAATCTGCCTTCCGATTTCTATAGCACCTAGAATACCGCATGCCTTGAAGTTGGTAGAGAAAGTGAATCCATTGGGGCGTGCTTTCGAGCGAATCATTTGAGGTAGAAGAAAGAGCGAGTCTTTTGCTATACCCGTCTGTAAATATCCACACATCAAAGCCGTCCATGAAACGACATTTCTTCTGGGCATTTTATCAAACACCTTCCGTGCACTTACTATCCAACTGCATTTCGCATACATGTCGATTAGGTCATTGTTTATCATCAAATCAGACCCATAACACCTTCTCACCGTAGCTCCATGAACAAGCTTTCCCTGATCAATCACCGAATTCTTGGCACATGAGCGTAAAGCTTCAGCCAACCTTTGCCTCTCAAGCATGGCAATGAATCGCCAACAAAAAACAGTTTCAGCTTAATTTCATGGCGATCTCTTCAACTCTTGCGACGCGTTGTTGCTAAGCACACCCATCACAGATGGAATAGTGGCCGCAAGAGGTGGAATCTTGACGAGAAAAGGGTATATAATTGTAAGAACATGGACAATAAGAAAAAAGATACACTCTCAAATGGTATGTAGTTGAAGCAGGGGAGGGAGATTGCGGCGGCGACGAAGCAGAAGATGAAGACGCAGTAGAGCAGCGGGGCTGCAGCGGCGGGTTTTAACTTAGGTGCGTACTGACACCAAAACTTGGATGCTTATTTGCTTCATTTTTTAAAAATTAAATTCTTAAAATTCTACTTAATAATTATATGTTTTTCAAATTAGTCTCTAAAATTAACTAATTTTCAAAATGATACTCGTCAACTAAAAATTATACTTAGTTCAGTCCCTTGACAAACAGCCGTTAAAACGATGTTAAACTTTATACTACTTTCTTAAAATGATACTTTCTAATTTTCTCAAATTGGTTCATTTTTAAAATAAAAATACATTAATTATAGGAAAATATTTTAAATTCTATAGGATGATAATATAATACTTAAAACTATAAATATAACTTTACAAATTTAAAAGTAAATTTTTTTTATTATCAATAATTATCTAAAAAATAGCATGTAAAATAAAATGCTTAATAATCGTTAAAAAATCAGTCTAAATAGGAGTAAAACATAAAAGAAATACCAAAATATGAGCTCTTTCTCTATGTTTTATCCTTATTTAGGGCATTTTCTTCAACGTTTATTAAATATTTTGTTTACATGATATTTTTTAAACAATTGTAAATAATTTAAAACGTTACTTTCAAATTTATAAAATTATATTTGTAGTTTTTAGTATTATATTATCATCTGATAAAGTTTAAAATATTTTTTCATAATTAACGTACTTTTATTTCGAAAATGAAACAATTTGAGAAATCAGCAGTTAGAAAGTACCATTTTGAAAAGTAACATAAGGTTTAACGTTGTTTTAATAGTCATTACTCGGAGGGACTGAAGTGGGCATGGTTTAAAAATATTTGAAAAAAATATCAAATTTCATTTCATTTTGCGTAATGTGACAAACATTTTAGAATAGAAAGAGTATGTCTTTACAAACATCAGACACATGAATAATGTTTATATTGGCATAAAATATGAAATCAAACTTGAAAACTGTTTGTTTTATGTATACTATTTAGGGAAAACTCCTTAGATATGAGTAAAAATTATAAAAAATATCAAAATAGTAATCATAAATTTTTTAAGACTAAAATAGAAGTTCGCACAGTCATTGTTATAGTGACACACCCACCACATTATAACATTGTGGCCGTGTTTGGAAAACGGCATTTGGGATAGCTTTTGACATGTTTGACTCACTTCGGTTTTTTTGGCTGAGCGAACTGCCAAAACCATTGTTTGGCTAATGGCTTTTTCACTTGGCATTTTGATCCGAAAAGCCAAAATCTGAAATGCCAAGGGGAGTAGCTTTTGGACTTGGATGTTAGGAAAATCAATTTTTTAAAATCATTTTTCTTGAAAAATATTTTATAATATATGTAAAAACTAAAAATAAAAATAAAAGTTAAAAAATTAAATACTGAAAAAAATAAATTTAAAATTTTAAAAATTTCAAAAAAATGAAATGAGAAAATAAATATTAAAAATCATTAAAAAATTGTATATTAATAATTTCTTATGAATTAAATGAAAGTAAAATTTAATACTCCGTACTCCATATACTAAAGATTTAATTTTTACATGTAAAAAAATGAAAAATAAATATTGTGTGTGTGTGTGTATGAAAAAACTATTTTTAAACAGCTAATTTTACCAAACTATTTTCAAACAGCTGAACTAAACAGCCATTCACAACAGCTGACACGAACTGCCAACAGCCAACATCCAAACAAGGACTGTAACTACTACATTATTGCCGCCACACTGTCATCCATTGTCGCCAGCCACCAGAGTACCAACGCGGATCACTAACGATCATAGTTAGTAATATACGACTGACGTATAATACATCAATACGTACACTCGTGTATAATGCGTTAGGATTAATACGGCTTACTATGCATATTAAACGTTCGTCATACGGATACGGATATGTACGTGTTTTAAACGTTTTCTATATTTAAAATACGTTTTATTGTATGTTTATGTATATTATCATATATACGTCAAATTTACACATATTTATCAATTGATAGTCATCAATTTATATTAGAGTAAATAAACAAAATACAAAAATCTTTTAAATGAAATATTAACAATAGATTTTTCAAATTAGAATCTCTATTTATTTAAAATATTTATTTGAAAAAAATATATACTCCCTTCATTAGGAAAAATATCCTTATTTGACTTTAACGTATGTAGTTTGAAAAAATGTTAAAAATAAAAACTTTATAGTTTGAATATATTTAGAAAAAACAAATAAGAGTTGTGAGTCACTAATTTATTTTTAAAAAGAAAATGAATTTTTTGAGACAAACAAAAGGGAAAGAATGAACTCTTTTTTTGAACTTGACAAAAAAAGTGTAATTTTTTTGTAGAATATAGATAATATATATTTTTTCAAATTGATTAAGTATTGTAGAGATAACCAATATAAAGTATTACCCGTATCTTTTTAAATATTTTTTGGAACAAATTAATATTTGTTGTACAAAAAAAATTATAATGAAATATTCAATTCATACATACTATACATAATTATACGTATAGTATCAAATATATGTGTATTTTAAAGTATTTTTGAAAATCATACGGTTACGTGAGTATAATACGCGTATCATTTGTACGTAAGTATAATACGTGTATTATACAGCGTATTAACTAACTAGACTGACAATTGACTGATCACATTAATATATTACATTGTCATCACTTTTCTATCTCACTGCCTACACATACTCTTACACCACACAAATATATTTCTATTTTGATTTTAAAAGATGTAAAACTCTTATTTTGGTATTTTTATAATTTTTTTTATTTTTATCCACGATGTTTTTTTTTACTACGGAGTATTTAAATTGTATATATACTATTTACAACTTCAAATTTTAATCAAATAATAAAAGAAATAATATAATCTTGTGTTCTTGTAATTTAGGTGAAGTCCTCCGCGAACGGAGGGGAGCTCGCCCAGCGCGACACCGCGAACCGAACGGGACAACTGAACAACTGAATTGAGTATTTATCTTATTCTCTTTTCGCCCCATGGTAAGTAATGATAACTCGTAAAAGTTTCCTATCTCGCTTTTCCATTTCAATTTATATGCTTTAGGGTTTGATATGGCGGATTTGATTAGATTGGACTCACGATTTTAGGATATGAACTGAGTTTCATAGTATGAACTTAGTTTATAGCTTATTATTATTATTGTTGTTGTTGTTATGGTAGGCATAATGGATGAAAGTTATTTGGTAGTGCAAGTGGGACGTGTGGTTAGTTTCATACTTGAATGCTACTCCTATATATATTTGTATTATATGTACTCAAGAAATTAAGGAATGAATGAAGTATTTGCCTCTCTCTAAATATTCTCTCTAGTCTTTCTCTCTTTTCTTGGCCAATTGATCAAAACCCAACTGGAATCATAACACTTATAAATGCGTGCTTTTTGTGGTCCGGGTCTAGTCGCTAGTGTTGATATGTGTTCTTCTTGCCTCCGCGCTCTTAATTTATTCATGTTATTGTGTGTATTTTGTTTGTCCATGTGTATTTGAGCCGGGTCTCCTGAAAACCATTTCTCTAGTTTCAAGTAAGGGTAATGTTTACATACACACACCCTTTCTAGATTCTATTTTTTGTATGATTTTACTGGGTTTGGTGTTGTTGTTCTTGTTGTAGGTTTTGATATGGTTGTGCGTTGTTGTTTGCATGAGCAATTCGTTTCTTTTGTAGCATCTTTGTGCATTAGGATTTGTATTTGTGTGTGTTTTTTCCCTTCTATTTTTTTCTTTCTATTTTATGTATTCTTTTAGTAATTACAATGTGTCAATGTGTTTGTTGGTTGTTCTACATGTAGTTCTATCACAAAATGGAGTGTTGATATGCCATTGGTTGTCAAAAGTTTCACATGACTAATAGTATTGATGTTGTGGTATCTTGAACATTCCATATAGAGAACTTATCTTGCCACATGACTAATAGTATTGATGTTGTGGTATCTTGAACATTCCATATAGAGAACTTATCTTGCCCAACAAGAGAATTATTAGTAGGTTATACTTCATATATTTCCTTAGTGTTTAAGTAAATGTGCTTGCGTGTTACTTTGTTGTAAGCATCTATTTGATGTCGATTCACCTCTTCCAATTTTAGAAACTAACTTTTGTTGGATGTATTTTCATTATTTTTTGCACATGGTTGTTTTTTTTCTTGATTTTCATTAGATAATGAAGACCAATTTGCATGTAACATTAGGTGTAGGAATGTGTGTGTTCCATTAATAGAAACAACCTCTCTATTTTTACAAGAGTATGACTGCCTACATTTTGATCCCTAGACCCCAATCGAGGTGTGGCCGTGTGGGATTATACTGGATTGTTGTTGTCGTTGTAAGTGGTGCTAAAGCAACATAGAATAGAGAAAAATAGATTGAGCTGAAAATATTTGATATGATTTAATTGTTTAGTAGAGGAGTACATGTGATGCTAGACATAGAGCTCTTTATACTTCTAAAACATCATGTGCTTGAAATGCCCCATCACCACAAGTAGCTTTCATATGAGTTCTTCTCATGAGCTCCTTTGATCTTGGTGATACAATTTCACAAGTAGCTCAATGCATTTGCCTTCTTTAGAGGTTGTTGGGGCACCTTTCCCACACAAACACACAACACTCCTTTCATTTTACAAGAAAGAGATACAAGGTCACATGGGTGTGTGTATATGCAAATGAATCACTAACTAATTATATAACCTTCTACTCCCTATGTCCCATAAAGTATTTCTTCTTTCCCTTTCCATCCGTCCCAAAAAACACTCTCTTTCAATTAAAATCGCTTGTTTACCCCTATTAATTGTTAACCTATATGCCACATCATACCTATTTAGTAATAATCTACTTCATCACATCTTAGTTTAGTGTATCATCAATCAAGGGTAAAATAGGAAAGTAACTGTAAAAATAATAAAGAACGCTTTATTGATTGAATGAATAAGAGAGGAATACAAAGCATGTATTTATAGGTGGAGAAATATATTTTAGATACCTCCACATAAATGACTAATTTATGTAAGTTAATATTATATAATAATGACTCTAACTATAATAGGTAACAACCATAATTATAATATACTCCCTCCGTCCCAAAAAGATCGTTACGTTTCATTTCTTTGCGCATCCCTTAAAATATTTTTATATCGTCTCAAATGCCAAAAAAACTTTCAAAACAATTTCATCTTATAATAAAGAGTAAATATGGTAAATTTTAGAAATTTTAGATGTGAGTAGCATTGCTTTTTGTGATGCGCAAAGAAATGAAACGTAACGATCTNTATACTCCCTCCGTCCCAAAAAGATCGTTACGTTTCATTTCTTTGCGCATCCCTTAAAATATTTTTATATCGTCTCAAATGCCAAAAAAACTTTCAAAACAATTTCATCTTATAATAAAGAGTAAATATGGTAAATTTTAGAAATTTTAGATGTGAGTAGCATTGCTTTTTGTGATGCGCAAAGAAATGAAACGTAACGATCTTTTTGGGACGGAGGGAGTATAATATTAAATATATTAAATAATTGATATATTTAACATGCTCCCAACGTCCTGAACGGTGAAGATTGAACGCCAACTTTAAATTGGATGATGACCAAAGTCGTGATTAGAAACTAGAGACATGTATTCGACTAGAGCAACCTGAATGCATCTGGACCAAAAGAGAAGAAGAAAGATTGTTGGGAAAGAAATGTGCATGCTTCGAGGATGGGAGAAGAGCCGCTGCGGACAGACTCATTCCGCTGACGTCGAAGAAGGGAGAAGATTGACGTGCGCTGGAGTTGTGCCTGACTGGGTTAGAGAAGAAACACAAGGAATGAGGTACTGCCAGAGATGCATATTGACCGAATATCTACCGACTAAGTAGGTTGAGGTGATGATATGATCTAAATTCAGGAAGCGGTGGTGATGGATCCGGAGATGAATGGAGGAGTATGGCAGGTCATTATTGGAGGAACAAGTGGGAGTGAGGCCACCGTCTCCGGATAAATCACTGGCGACGGCGTCGGAGGAAGCAGAATGTATTAGGTCACCAAGAGCGAAGGCTCCGATACCATGTAAAAATAATAAAGAATGCTTTATTGATTGAATGAATAAGAGAGGAATACAAAGCATGTATTTATAGGTGGAGAAATATATTCTAGTTACCTCCACATTAATGACTAATTTATGTAAGGTAATATTATATAATAATGACTCTAACTATAATAGGTAACAACCATAATTATAATATATAATATTAAATATATTAAATAATTGATATATTTAACAGTAACACTCAAACTACATTTACCTTAATTACTAACTTTATCAAATGTGGAAAGAATTTTTGGGATGGAGGCCTAGACGGAGTCAGACCTGCTATGTTATATGGGGCAGAGTGTTGGGCGGTTAAGAAGACTCATGTGCGTCGTCTGCATGCGGCGGAGATGCGGATGTTACGATGGATGTGCGGGAAGACAAGGTTGGATAGGATTTCGAATGAGGTTATCCGACGTCAAGTAGGTATGGCACCGGTGGAAGACAAGTTGCGGGAAGCGAGGTTGAGGTGGCTTGGCCATGTGAGACGGCGGGATG